TAGGGGGGGGGGGGAGGGGTTCTATAGGGGGAGGAACCTATAGAGGGGGTGGGGGAGGGGATCTATAGGGGGCAGGACCCCAATCCCAGTGTCCATTCCCAGTGTCCATCCCCAGTGTCCATTCCCAGTGTCCATTCCCAGTGTCCACCCCCAGTGTCCACCCCCAGTGTCCATCCCCAGTGTCCACCCCCAGTGTCCAGTCCCAGTGTCCACTCCCAGTGTCCATTCCCAGTGTCCACTCCCAGTGTCCATCCCCAGTGTCCACTCCCAGTGTCCACCCCCAGTGTCCAGTCCAGTGTCCATCCCCAGTGTCCACTCCAGTGTCCATTCCCAGTGTCCACTCCCAGTGTCCACCCCCAGTGTCCACTCCAGTGTCCACTCCCAGTGTCCATTCCCAGTGTCCATTCCCAGTGTCCACCCCCAGTGTCCATTCCCAGTGTCCACCCCCAGTGTCCATCCCCAGTGTCCACTCCAGTGTCCATCCCCAGTGTCCACTCCCAGTGTCCACTCCCAGTGTCCATCCCCAGTGTCCACTCCCAGTGTCCACCCCCAGTGTCCACTCCCAGTGTCCATCCCCAGTGTCCATCCCCAGTGTCCATCCCCAGTGTCCACCCCCAGTGTCCATCCCCAGTGTCCATCCCCAGTGTCCATTCCCAGTGTCCATTCCCAGTGTCCACCTTCACTGTCCACTCCCCAATCCCAGTGTCCAGTGTCCACTCCGTGTCCACTCCGTGTCCAGTACCCACTCCCCAATCCCAGTGTCCAGTGTCCACTCCCAGTGTCCACTCCCCAATCCCAGTGTCCACTCCCAGTGTCCACTGCAATGTCCACTCTGTGTCCAGTGCCCACTCCCCAATCCCACTGTCCAGTGTCCACTCCCAGTGTCCACTCCCAGTGTCCACTTCGTGTCCAGTGTCCACTCCCCAATCCCAGTGTCCACTCCCAGTGTCCACTCCCAATGTCCACTTCATGTCCAGTGCCCACTCCCCAATCCCAGTGTCCAATCCCAGTGTCCACTCCCAATGTCCACTCCGTGTCCAGTGTCCACTCCCCAATCCCAGTGTCCACTCCCAGTGTCCACTCCGTGTCCAGTGTCCACTCCCAGTGTCCACTCCGTGTCCACTCCGTGTCCAGTGTCCACTCCCCAATCCCAGTGACCAGTGTCCACTCCAATGTCCACTCCCACTGTCCACTCCCAGTGTCCACTCCCACTGTCCAGTGTCCACTCCCCAATCCCAGTGTCCACTCCCAGTGTCCACTCTCACTGTCCAGTGTCCACTCCCCAATCCCAGTGTCCACTCCCAGTGTCCACTCCCACTGTCCAGTGTCCACTCCCCAATCCCAGTGTCCACTCCCAGTGTCCACTCCGTGTCCAGTGTCCACTCCCAGTGTCCACTCTCACTGTCCAGTGTCCACTCCCAGTGTCCACCCCCAGTGTCCACCCCCACTGACCACTCCATCGTCCACCCCTCCGTCCCCATGTCCGCCCTGGAGCGTGTCCGAGCGGGCGGCCGGAGCCTGGATCGCCGCCTGGACGCCGTCTCCGGCCAGGCCCTGCTGGCCGGACTGCGGGCGGCCGGAGCCGTGTCCGAGCCCGAGGTGGCCGCGCTCGGACCGCCGGACAGCTCGGGCTGGACGCGGCGACTCCGCGCTCTGGCCGCGGCCAAAGGCGACCGGACGTGCCGCGTCCTGCTGACCGTCCTGGAGGGGCTGGAGGGGCCACCCCGGCCGGGGCCCTTCGGTGAGTGACCGCTCCGACGTCCGGCCGCGGGGCAGTGGTCACTCCAGTGGTCACTCCAGTGGTCACTCCAGTGGTCACTCCAGTGGTCATTTTGGGTTTTTCCCCCCATTTTCCCCAGTTTTTACACCCCAAAGTTCAGTGAGTGACCGCTCCGACGTCCGGCCGCGGGGCAGTGGTCACTCCAGTGGTCACTCCATTTGTCACTTCATTGGTCACTCCAGTGGTCATTCCATTGGTCACTCCATTGGCCACTCCGTTGGTCACTGCATTGGCCACTCCATGGGTCACTCAGTGGTCACTCCAGTGGTCACTCCATGGGTCACTCAGTGGTCACTCCAGTGGTCATTCCATTGGTCACTCCATTGGCCACTCCGTTGGTCACTCCATTGGCCACTCCATTGGTCACTCCAGTGGTCACTTCATGGGTCACTCCAGTGGTCACTTCATAGGTCACTCCATTGGTCACTCAGTGGTCACTCAGTGGTCACTCAGAGATCACTCAGTGGTCACTCGGGTCACTCATTGGTCACTCAGGGTCACTCATTGGTCACTCATTAATCACTCATTGGTCACTCAGTGGTCACTCCAGTGGTCACTCCAGCGGTCACTCCATTTGTCACTTCATTGGTCACTCCAGTGGTCATTCCATTGGTCACTCCATTGGCCACTCCGTTGGTCACTCCATTGGCCACTCCATTGGTCACTGCATTGGTCACTGCATGGGTCACTCAGTGGTCACTCCAGTGGTCACTCCAGTGGTCACTCAGTGGTCATTTTTGGTGGTTTTCCCCATTTTTACAACCCAAAGTTCAGTGAGTGACCCCTCTGACGTCCGGCCGCAGGGGCAGTGGTCACTCCAGTGGTCACTCCATGGGTCACTTCATTGGTCACTCCAGTGGTCATTCCATTGGTCACTCCATTGGCCACTCCAGTGGTCACTCATTGGCCACTCCATTGACCACTCATTGGTCACTCAGGGGTCACTCAGTGGTCACTCATTGGTCACTCACTGGTCACTCAGGGTCACTCATTGGTCACTCAGTGCTCACTCCATTGGTCAGTCATTGGTCAGTCATTGGTCACTCCAGTGGTCACTCATTGGCCACTCATTGGTCACTCAGTGGTCAGTGGTCACTCAGTGGTCACTCAGGGTCACTCATTGGTCACTCAGTGGTCACTCATTGGTCACTCATTGATCACTCATTGGTCACTCAGGGTCACTCATTGGTCACTCATTGGTCACTCATTGGCCACTCATTGGTCACTCAGTGGTCACTCAGTGGTCACTCAGGGTCACTCATTGGTCACTCAGTGGTCACTCATTGGTCACTCATTGATCACTCAGTGGTCACTCCAGTGGTCACTCAGTGGTCAATTTGGGAGATTTTCCCATTTTTACCAATTCTTACGACCCAAACTTCACTGAGTGACCGCTCCGATGTCCAACCATGGGGTGAATGACCAGTGGTCACTCATTGGTCACTCATTGGTCACTCATTGGTCACTCAGTGGTCACTTTGTCCATTTTCCGCAGATTTTTACAACCCCGAGCGCGACGCGGTGGCCGGACACCGCTCGGACTGTCCGTGCTGCCGGCCGGAGCCCGAGTGGACGCGCGAGGAAGAGGAGGAACCCAAAACTGGGGATGAAGAACCCAAAACTGGGGATGAAGAACCCAAAATTGGGGATGAAGAACCCAAAAATGGGGATGAAGAACCCAAAATTGGGGATGAAGAACCCAAAATTTGGGATGAAGGCCATGAGGATGATGAAGAACCCAAAATTGGTGATGAAGGCCACGAGGATGATGAAGAACCCAAAATTGGTGATGAAGAACCCAAAATTGGTGATGAAGGCCACGAGGATGATGAAGAACCCAAAATTGGTGATGAAGGCCACGAGGATGAGGATGAAGAACCCAAAATTGGTGATGAAGGCCACGAGGATGATGATGAAGAACCCAAAAATGAAGATGAAGGCCACGAGGATGAGGAGGATGGAGGGGATGAAGATTAAGGGGTGGGGCTGAGGAGGAGGAGGGAAAAAAAGAAGGGGATGAAGGTGATGAAGATGAGGAGGAATTTTGGGTCAAAAAAAGCCCAAAATGGA